AAGGCTTTGGAAAGAGGACGTACGAAGACGAAGACCCGCCGGACGACATGCAGGCAGACCGGGACAGCATTTCACGGGTGGAGGGATCTGCCGGGTCCGAGCAGCTGGACTTCGACCCAGTAGAACAGCGATTTGGCGAGACGGAGCATGACGCAGCGATCTACTGCAAGTTCTGCCAGATGTGGTTGAACGGCCCGACACAGTGGGCAGATCACGAAATCGGCAAGAAGCACCAAAAGGCCGTGCGCAGAGCTGCGGGAACAGGCTCGGCAGAGCCCATGGACTTCGACCAATCGCAAGACGCCTATTCCTGGCCGCAGCGGTATGACGATGGGTACGGATGGAAACCGCAGCTCCCGCAGCAGCAGATGCTGGGGAGCTCCTATGGCGCATACGCAGTATGAGGCCCACCGCCACCGCCGTACGACTCGGCAAGCGCTTCCAACATGGACCTCCAGTTGCAGTGACGCTTTCCTTCGGTCCGAAGGAAAATGTCACTGCACCTGGAGCAGCAGCAGCTGAGTATTGGGGACACGAGCCAATGCGCACCAGGATGGAGGACCCAGCCATCCGCGGCCCAGATAGTCGAGCCGGCGGGAGGAGAAACATTGTCGGCCTCACATCTGCTAGTGCGAATGCTGAACGGATTCTGAGACGAGGAATCAATTTGTTCAAATCCAATCTACCCCGGATTTGCTTCGTGGGGTGGCTAGACTCGCCGATGAATGCTTGCTCGGCAAGAACATGCTGCCTGCAAAAGACACCGGCAAGGCATAGGCATGGACTTTTCGTCGTTTCAATTGAAATGTTGACGGTGTATTCGGTTCAGGGTGTCTTCAGTGTTTAGGAATGCATGCATGGTTTGAAGAAACTATGCAGAGTTTAGTGTCAGTTGAGGTTTTGTGCTCTAAGGTCAAGAATCAAGCAGACCACTCGGAAGAACTGGCCGCTTCTCAACCACGGACACCCTTGGGGGGTCTTGTGGCGGCTGATGTAGCCCCAACTGGCAACACTAGCTCGTGCGACCTCTCCACCGACAAGATTTGATGGTATCCCCCCACCAAGGAACATGTCATGCTCGTCGATGTGGAAGATGGCTGTCGCTTTGCATATGTGTCTCAGGGATGTTGATAGACCAGGTCTCTTAAACTATCGTTACACGCCTACTTAACGGACTCTCAAGCTCAAGCCCATGAGAGCCCTACAAACTAGGGCCTGAACCTTCCTGAGCCTTAGCCGCAAGTGCCACTTTCAGATCCGTGCGAGTGGGCTGGGAAGACGTCAGGTCAAATCAAAGGCAAGCTGTCTCGCATGCTGTCTCCCCTGCCTAGTAACTTTTTTGTAGCATTGTAGATCAATGAACATACGAAATGCGTTGACTACTCCGTGCGGCGCTGCTCAAGTGGCCAATCGCGATTGCCGGGTGGCCTTGGGGGCAAGCGAGGTTTGCTTTGAGCCTCAGCCGCAAATTTGCTTTGCCTTCCAAGCCAGCAGCTCTGTGCCCTTGCGACTCATCACTGGGTTGTTCTTACGGTTCCAGGTACATAGTCGCAGGTCTTCCAAGTGGAAGGCAGCAGCTTCGATTCCCCCTTGTGCGCCCAGTGAAGGCATCTCGTCCTGTGTCTGCCTTGTGTCTGTCTTTTCAAAACTGTCTTTGTAGTCTGTTCCAGGTGAAGAAGATGGGCGATCCACATACAGCATGGCTCCACTTCGGACGACAGAGGTTTGAGGATCGCAGCTGCTCTCTGGATGTTGCACAGAAAGTCTGGCATCCTATGAGCTGATCTGCCGTAGCAGTGCTTCAAAAGCCGCTCCTGCAAGCTTCTGCAGGAAATGAGAGGACTCAATGCCAACAACGAGGCCATGGTCGACGAGCTTGTCGCCGCACGGTTGCAGATCCGGGACCCCGGGTTTGCGTGTCTCAGAGAGTCAGAGCAGAGATCCCAAGGATTCCCACGCTCTACGGAGCACGGAGTGCATCGATGCCTTCAAGGCCAGGAGAGTTGCGCAGAGAAACGCTGGGACATCCCCGAGGCTTGCGTCTGCCCGTTTGTCCGATACCGAAGACAGGCATCGTTCGTACAGTGCCTGGGGTGCCTTGTGTGAAGGATGCCGACGGCAAGCTTCACAGCACGCTTTTGGTAGCCACTTCAACTCAGTCCAACTTACCACCAAAGCCCTCAGAGCCTCAGAGCACTTTCGCTACGCGAGGCAGTTTTCCCTTTTTAATTTTGTTGGAAGGCCATCGACCGCGGACACTTCTGGCCAGCTCAAGGAGGCGACTTGGCTTACGCCGACATGCCGTTGCCTGGGGCCCAGGAAAGGATGGAAGCGCCGCTCAAAGCTTTGTGGGCTCACAGCGAACCTCAGGCGCCATGGCCGCCTTCACTTGTCCGCACCACACATCTATGGGAAGGTGTGGAGCTGTCTCAGGGCGCTTTCAAGGAAGCTGACCGGCTGTCCTGCACTAGGCGCTGGAGTCTCTTATGCCTCTGCAGCCGTGACCCCAGCCACTTGCGTCTCAGAGCTCGGACAGCCTGTCCACCCCTCCCCCCTGTGCAGCACGGCCGTGATGACGACGTGGCTAACGAAGATCGAAAGAGATGGGGCCGAGGCCTGGCATGTCCTTCCTGAACATCGGCTCGCGCCTCGATGGCCTCGGGCCACCCACGAGTCGAGTCGCTTGGCTCCGCGCTTCGAGGATCCGGGACGGGCTACTTCAACTCCATCGTGTTGGGGCCTTAGACTCCGCGAGGGAGTCTGCCTGTGCGGCCTTGTGCACCTGCTCATACACTCACGTTCACCTCGGTTCACGTGCCACCAGGTCCGAATTTACGGGGCCCCATGCAGCCAACCACGGCGTGGAGATCTGGCCCGCCCCAGAAGAGACCCACCTAGTGCAGCTCCGTGGCTCTGCAGACTGTCAAGTGAGGCCAGAGACGGTGGCCCATGCAAAAGAACGTGCAGCTGCGCTAGGCGTAGACGTGGCTTCGGCTTGCCTGGGACCTTCGAACTGTTGCCTGCCAGGTAAGACCACCATACAGTTCACGACTGGCAATATCTACCAGCTGAATGTGAACGAGACGATGCGCCGGTATCTTAGAGCAACCGGCAATCGGTTTTCATCAGGACCATCGGCCTGCAGTGACCTCAGGCTATGATCGGATATACATCGGCGCCTGCGCAAACTCGAGATCCAAGTACCTCTACAGGCGGCTCTCTGCGGTCTTTACTCTCGTCTGTCCTTCCCTCAATCTCAAGCATGGGAGGCTGCTCGAGGTCGGCGGTGTTCTGATCGGGCCCTTTCAGGCACGTTGTGTTTTGCTTTGCAGGTGGGCCGTGACGACGTGAACGCTGCAGTCTCCCTTAGGTCGGGCACAGCCAGCAGCTTCGACGGGTAGTGCGACAAACGGACGGGATCTTCATCCTCGGACCTTGTTTGCAAAGCTTGAGTGATCTGCAGCTGAGGAGACCCACTTCTTCGTGGAGGTGCTTGGATCTGTCACGGCCCTGAGACCTGCAGCGAGTTGATGCAGCTCACAGCAAGATGCAGCCGCCGCATGCAATTGACATCCTGCATCTCCAGGTTCAATTTGCGTGTCTCGTGGAGCCCACGCAGTGCACTTCGCGATCTATGGCAACTTCGTCGCAACAGCTGGAGAAAAAGAACCCATCTGTGCATCCGTGTTTTTCCTGCTTGAGGCTTCAGGTGCTTTTGCCCCTCCGCCACGGACCGGAACTCACACAGAGGAGTTTCACAACTCTGTGCCACCCTGAGAAAGCTGCAGCCGGAGCAAGACGTGCTGTCGACACGTCTTTAGACACCAGATCTTTGCAAGGCTCAAAGTGGCACCACGACTCCTGCAACAGTGTCTTCCGGTGACCTCACCGCAATCGGTTGCATTGAGCCTGTCGGCTTTGTTCTTGCAAGCAGGCGATGCTACCGATGGCGATAACCATCAACTCGTAGGCCTGACTCCGGTGATGGAAGTCTGCAGGCACTCAATCGGTAGTACTCATACCAGGTCTTCCCGGTGTTCCTTTCACCTTCTCTCTGTTGGAAAGTCCTTGGCCCCAGCCTTGGCTGCCTCACATCTAGAGTCTGCAACATTAAGATCCAGCCAGCCGAAGATCTGAAATCAGTCATGGAGATGCGGCCTGATGGTCCGAGAATGCAGAGCAGCAAAAGGGGAGGCGATTATTTCCTCAGCAGTTCCGTGCATGCACAAGGCCGCCCCCATGGTGCCAATGAGAATAGGAGGCTTCAGGCAAGCGCCGTCCTGCCTCGCGTCCTAGGACCCCGGAGAGGAGCTGGCTTTATCCAGTCCAGCCCTCAGGTTCGCTGTCTCAGGGGCGTGGCGATGGCCCCTAGTTCCACGCTGAGGCTTCCTTCAAACAAGCAGTTGCAACTGGGCTCCTATGCCAGCCGAAGCACAAAGGCTGCAACGCGTGAGCGGCAGGAAGCTGCTTCAACTCACCTGAGCCGCTGCAGGCATCGTGGGGCTTCCTGCTGAACTTTGGATCAAGCACATCATCCCATGGTGCTCAAGGAGATGGTTTGAGGCTGACGAATGCATGTTTCGAGCGTGCGGACTGATCGTCAAAAGCAACTCAAAGGGGCAGCCTTCTCGCAGTACTCCGGCACTGCAGCCGGCACACACGGAGGCGCCTTTTGCAGCAAATGGCATGGCAGAGGGAGCCTCGCTGCGTCCGCGTCTCTTCTCTGTGCAGTTGCTGCGAGAGGTGCCCTCAGCTCTGGTCCTCCCGAAGTGCAAGGACGGGCGAGGGTCGCCGCATGCCGCATGGACATCGCGATGTCACTGCTTTGTGCGCTTCGAGCCACTTCGCCTCGAAAGGATGTAGAAGAAGGGCCGCTGCCTCACAGCTGTAGAGTCTGGTAGAGCCAGGATGTGCGAACAGGTGAGCCGCACTCCTCGCTCTCCGCCGAAGGTCGGAGGACTCCGCCTCCACGAGGGCGCCCTCCTCCCAGTCTGAGGCCCCAGAACAGGATGCCAAGTTGGGAGGTTGGGGAAGATGCCCCAGAGATGGGGATGTGTGAGCTGATTCGCTCTTGCTGTTGTGCCATGTTTTGCTCGAAAGTGTTTGGAAAGTATGGAAGATCACAACAGCACAAGGAAACCTTTACCGCAGCCCCCAAGCGACTGTCGATGCGACAGCCTTTCAGAAGCCAGCCGAATAAGTTTAGGTCCGTTCTGGTCGCAGCAACCTTTGGCCAAAGCCACGTTCAGTCACTTCTGCCTCGCACGAGGGCGATGACGAGCCTTGATGCCGGCGATCCACTGTCGGGTCTGTTCCCGGTTGCATGCAATCTGTCTGCCTCTGTCGTGCCACGCCTTCTTGCTCGCTCAGAGTTCTGGTTCTTTTTTGGCCTTCACTTGGCAACTTGGGGGGCGTATCAGCAGGGCTGGTTGGCGAAGGGCAATGGTGACGTGGAATCAGACTCGCAGAACTTGACCATGATGTCCATCGTGACCAGCTTTTTTCTCACGTTTTCGACGAACCATGCCCTGGCTAGACACGAGCAGATCTGCATGGGCGTCAAGCGTATGTTCAATGCGGTTCATGGCTTTGCTTGTCAATCGCGACTGTTCCTAAGGGACCAAGATCGCCCCTACGACAGGCTTGCATGTCGCTGGATGGCTTTGGCCAGTATGCTGGCGGTGATAGAGTTGCAGTATACAGAGGTCTCGAAGAAACAGTGGGTGCAATTGAGGTCGATGGGCCTCGCAAGGGAGGAGGACGTGGAGCGGCTACGAGAACTCAACAGCCAGCAGCGCTTCATCACCATCTTTCGTTTCACAAGAGACATTGTGCAAAATGGCTTAGAGGCCTCCACGGCCCAGGCCGTGGTGGTGAAACACGTCGTCGATTGCGTACTGCAGTTTAAGGAGTGCCACCAAGACCTGCAAGACATCTTGCAAGTTTCCATCCCGTTCCGATATCATCACCTGCTTACGGTAATGGTGTCCTTCAACATGCTTTTCCTGGCTTATGTGATGGCGCTCTCTTCGTCGGTCCTGGCCCCCTGCGTTTTCTTGCTCGTGGAAATTACCTTCATGGGCATGCTGGAAATGAACCAAGCCGAATCACAGCAAATGCAAGGCGCGACTGCTTCTCTTCTTCTGCCCTTGATTTCCCTTCCTTTAAGAACGGCTCCGCCTGTTTTCCTGATGCTGATGCTTAAGTAAGTCTCGTTTATCCTGGTTGCCACAGGATCTCTGCCCACGTGGACCCAGGATTTCCTGTTCGGCTTGCATGCTGTGGTGAATTACGAGCACGACGGGCCGAGGGAGAAGTGGCAGACAGAGCTGGCGGAAGAACTTCGCGAGAGCGCTGGCTTCCCGGGTCCTCCGGCACTTCCTGAGCTCTTGGGCTCCCGCCGGGGACCTCTGCCAGCGGAGTAGAAGTCCCAGCCTTCACAAAGATGTTGGCATGTTTCACTGGCACGCGGGAGGACCTCGAAGTGCCACAAAGTCTTTTGCAAAGAAGGCGCAGCTGAGAGAGAAAGCGACCAAGGAGCACGCCGGACCGTGGCCCCTCGCACCCTCCCTTGGACATGTGGCCCGGAACTCGGTGCCTCCAAAATCAAGCCCGGAGGGCGCTTTGGCAAACTCGGAGGTCACTGTCCAATCCGGAAGCTGTCGACGAATTTGGTGATGACGTGCTTGTGGAGGCTCTGTAACTTGAGACTTCTTTCACTCCACACTATGTATAGTATAGAGGGTTTGCTTCTAAGGTTTGGAGCAATGGTCAACGCCACGCGATCGGCATCGAGGCTTCTTTAAAATCTCCAATCAAGAGATGGCTCTTATGGTCGGCATCTGGGACTTGGCAAAGTTTACCTTAATTTTTGCTGACAGGGTGATCCAGATGATGCTGACCATGAGCGAGACCAGCGCATGGCAGTCCCGCTGCGTGTTTTGCCAGATCCCCATTTCACTTTGTTCCAGTAGTTATGGCAAATGCCCAGGCAAGTTCCTTTTGTCATGTGTCGTTTTGATGGTATGGAGTGTGGGTTACATCAAGCGACGTGGCTGGGCAATGTGCCAGCATGCAGAGACGCTCCATGTAGGATGTAGATTCTCTCAGCCCGAAGCTTGTGCGGCCAACCGGCTGCTGCTGAGGCAGCTTCTTGCAGAGGCGCCGTCACTCCCAGCAAGCAAAGGGTGTTCCGAAGATTTCTTGCCCCAGGAGGCCCGAACACGCCAGCGCCGGCGACAACGAGAATCCGAGGCGGTTTGCCTTTGCATGTTCATCAGAACTCAGAAAGCATCGCCAAAGTAAAAGCTAAAGTGAAGCAAAGTGAGGTTTGCCTAGCTCCAAAGCCTTAAAGCGTAGTGCTGCTTTTCAGGTGCGAACCTGTTCCAGCGAAGAGGGGTTGCAGTCTGACCTGTTGGTCCAGCGAGATCTTTCTGTGCAGCTTCAGTCTTTGGATTCTGGTTCTAGCAATTTTGGTGACGTTTGCCGCGAGGTAGTTGGGTACCATTTGCAAGCACTCGGACCCGCAGGGCCCAGGTATCAGTCACACATGGTAAAACAAAGGATAAGCATCAGTTTGTCGCCAACCCACGTAAGCCACGCATGCAATCTACGATTTCCGCTCAAACTATTGCGGGATGTTTGGCAATCTTTTCATGAAGCCGCATGGGTCAAATTATTGTGATGTAAATGAATTTCTCCTGAGGTAGAGAACAAGAAGATCCCTGTGAAACTGGTGTACAGAGCGGAGAGATCTACTGCTATTTTGCAACTACAACCGAGGGAATCCACCGATCACTAGATAAGAGCTGCTGTGTAGTGTGACTGGCGTGTGGAGATAATGCGCCCCGTTGAGCAACATGTATGTAGACACTCCGGCACAGCGTGATTGCAGACACCGGGGCCTGTGGCAAGGAAGAGATTGAGGAAGATGAGGAGGAGGAGAATCCTCAGTCAGCCCAGGCCGCTGAGTGGTTTCATGGCAGGAGCGATGTTATACTTCTGAATTCACTGAAGGTCGAAGAATCTGCATGGAACAACGGTGACGAGGCCACGGATGCCCCCCCCCCTCACACGTCATAGAGGCAATACGTGGCTTCGCCCCGTATGATGCAAGAGGTGGAAGTGGCCCATTTTGCAGCTTTTGCGCCTGCTTGGTAGTCGTATGCTTGCTCTTTACTCCGATGATCACCGGCCAACAGTTTTTGAGGGGGTCAGAACAGCTGCAGGCCTGGACCTGGGAAGACGACCTGGAGGAAATGGAGCTGGTATGGACCTGAGAAAAGTTTTTTTCCTGATGTGTCGTTGCAACAGATGTGCGAGGTTGTGGGCCGTGTGTTCCAAGGAACTGGAAGGCGAGCCTCCAGGTATCGTGTGGCTGGAGCAGACCAGCGATATGCAGGATATCGAGGCTCTGACACATGTCTAAGGATTCAATTTCTGCAGCAATGAGGCTGTCGGTGGTTGTGACCATGCTGTCAAAGATACGGGCAATCTTGTGCAGGAAATGCAGGAGGACGTGCGCATGTTCTGAGGTGCGACAGGAGCTGGGGTAGCCACGTAGTTCTGCATTGTCGATTGCAAGCGTCTTGGCAAGTGTGGCTGGTGCATCTTGCTGGTATTTCGAGTCAGACAAGTGCTCCTGTTCAGGCTGGCTTCAATCGTTTTCTGGGTGAGCACCCGAAAGTACGGTGAACTCGAAGGAATTTTTAACTTCGGGCATCATTTAGAGACTTTTTCTCGCATTGCGGATGGTTCTGACAATCCCAACATATGATGCGAGCTCCCCATTTCGATTTGCACTACCTGGCGTGGCTCAGCCTGGTACTGGATTGGCAAGCCACTGATGCGCAGTCCTCCGACCGTTCGCAGAAACCTGGGGATCGAGGCGAGAATTGCATGTGCTCGGGAATGACTTGCCGCAACGGTTTTAGTCAGTACTCACAGTTCTCTTGTGAAGCAACCGGTGACGTTTGTGGCTGGCGACGTAAGACCCAACAGTCATTGCCGAGCATTGATCATTGATCCCGCTGATCATAACAGCATATTTCGCCAGTTTGCCATGACAGTCCTCCGAGACTGAGTGCATGTTGTGCTTTGGTGAGAGTGCAAGGGTACGCAAAGCTCTGTTTGAAAAGACGTTTCGTTTCAGCCTTTCTCTTCACCACAAGCGGAGCCGCTAGCTTTGTCAAGAACTGGCTTTGCTGGCAAGGCGAAGTTTTCCCGTCAGGGCAGCAGGCAGAGGTTTCCATAAACTTGAAGTGCAGCAAGGTAATCGGAGTTGGCTGGTAGCAGAGATGCCGGATGAATCGTAGGGTTGCATCAGATGCACAGGCGATCGCAGCGACATGGTAAACCTTCCGTCCTGCAATTCAGCGCCGTGCTCTCCGCTTTTGGAGTGGCGCCATGTGCACTCTTCCAAGAAGGGGCCTGCAGCCAAACACCCCGAACACCTACAGTATCGAATCATCAAAGTTGAACGATACGACTTATTCAGCTTGTTTTTGCTCCGGGCGTGCAGTCTCACCGTGATGGTGAGTCGGCTTTTGTACATAAGCTGTCAAGCTGGCCTGAAAGGGCCTGTAGGCGAGCCGTGATGAGCTCTGTGCGGGTGCCTCCCTACTGAATGTACTGTACTGTATCCATTGAAGCAAAATTTTATGGTTTGGTCCGGGTCAGAGGCAGCACGTGGGAAGAGGATGGCACGCCTTACAGTGAGAGCCCTATCGGTCCTTTCAAGCCACCAGGTGCTTACAAGTTTCGCACTTGTGAGGAGATTGTGTGCGTAAGGAGTAGACGATGTGATGTGTGCAATATCAAGACATCAATACCTTCAGCACGTCCTTCAGTCGTGCAAGAAGTTGTGAGGCTTAACACTGCAGTCGGACGCCTAATCATGTTTTTTTTATGGAAACGGACGATCTCAAGGCTTTTGCGTGGCTGTGACTAGTAGTGACTAGTGATTATGCGAGACATGCAAAGGAGCCTGGCTGGCTGGCAATCCTCTCTTTTAAAGTTCGTGCTTCCTTCAATCGCTGCTCGCGAAGCAACGCGGGCAGAACGTTTGACTTGGCAACGTACATCGTGCACCATGTAAGTGTCCAATGTAGCCATAGCTTCTTCCAGCTCTGCCTCTGCTTTGGTATGGCTTCATCTGCGATTGTGGGCACACCGTGTGCAGCGTTAGACTAGGTTCCAGCTGCTTGAGCAGCCTTGCTGTTTTCGCCTGAGACTGGCCGGAAGCTGCCCCAGCTGCCTCTGCCAACCGAAGTGCCCTCTGCTCCACCGCAAGCAGCTTTTCAGTCTTGGGTTGCCTTGCAGCAGGCAGATGATGTGTTTCCACTGCTGACTCGCACTGCAAGGGAACGGTGCAGTTCCTGCAGGCTCGCCTTGGTCCCTGCTTGCCAAAGCTGCCCTGATACTTCACTACCAAGCGTACCACTGTTGCAAGAGGAGCACCTTTTGAGTAAAGGGCCCGACTGAGAGGTCTAAGCAGAGCACAGGGCATGCGAAGCGGGCCAACTGGCCGAGCAGCGAGTCACCTCCTTTGTGCAGTGGGGCTTCATCTTGCACTCAGCAGAGCTGTTTGGGGGACCTCCGAAAAGGGGGCGGAGATCTGAAGCAAGCTGATCTCCATTCGCATGGAGGTCCAGAGATGCGAGGGTGGATTTCTTGATTGGATTGAAGCGGGGCTCTGCAACGCAATCGAGATTACCATCTGGACTAGTGACTACTGCAATGTTCAACTACCCGTTCAACTGATCTGTCGGCTGCTATTGCATGGTACCAACGGTGCCCTACAGCTCCTTGCCGGGCAAAGCCGCGAAGTATGTGTCGACGTTTTACCTTCCTCGTAAACGTCCGTGCAGGGTCCATGTCTTGCGCATTTTCCACTATGCAGATTGGTGGAAAGTTCACAGACCCCGCCTCAAGTGGCATTCGATGCACTGGACGCTTCAGATTCACGCAAAGAGTCTTGCTCTGTTGGTGCTGTTGTTGGCCTTGGTAGCACTGCTTTAGTCGTGTTGTGGTTGTGGTCATTGCTGACGCGTAGTAGTATCTGCAAAATCAGTGCAGCAGAAAGAAGAGTCGTAGTTGTACTAGCAAAGCAGTCGTCGTCGGTTGTTGGGAGAGACAGTTGTGGCGGGGCAGTGGTTGTGGCGCTACCCGTTAGCAGAAGCTGCAGCGGCGGTGGTAGCAGCAGCTGCAGCTGCAGCGGCGGCGAGCGGCAGCAGTGGCGGCAGCAGCGGCAGGTCGCAACAGTCGTGTCGTTGCTGTCATGTGAAGGGACACTGGTCGTGGTTGTGGTGGTGGTCGTCGTGTCTTTGCTGCTGCTGCTGCTGCTGCTGTTGCTGCTGCTGCCCCCTGGGTGGCCGTTGTCGTTGTTGCCGTCCTTGTGGGGTTGGCACTCGTGGTTGCGAGTTGCAGGTCTGGTTCCGTGTTGGTTGATATCAGTTTGCTGTTCTGCTGTTTCAATGTGTGGCCGTTGTTCGGTACACTGTTATTGGTGACATCTCGGGCCGCCGTTTGGCTTTACGCAAGCCGGTTCAGCCGTTGTAGGACCGGTTTAAGTCAAGCACGACCCGTCTTCAACTTCAACAACCGATAGAATCCGAAAGAATAGATATGAGGAGCCAGCCAAATAATTTTGAACTACAGGAGAGTTTTCACAACAGGGCATTTGCAGCAAGTTAAGGGCCATGCCAGTGTACCATTCCAGGTGCCAGACGGGCACAGCACAATTGGCCTGACCTGAGCGTGCGCATGCGAGGCACAACGGCAGCAACGCAGTGAGCGTCTGTGGCTGCCCTTTGGTGCCCCTGAAGACGGCTAGATTTAAAGGACTCTTCGCAAACTTGCTGCGTCTTCTCCTCGCCGTACAGAACGCTTGCCTGTTCAAGCGAATTTCATGAGCTTCAGTGAAGGTCCAGCAGTCCGGCAGGACCTGCTCCCACTCCTGCCTCTCTGGGCCTCACTGATGAGGCCAGGTTCACGAAATCGGATGCAAGAAATGCAGGCTGAGTGCTGCACACCTTTGACAAAACGAAAGCCTGACAGTTCGTCGACTTGGTGGACGAGGCGTTGAGGACCCAAGTGATTACTGCACAAGGAGTTCAATCATGGGCTTGGATCATAAACCCTAGCTTCTTGGACAGTCGTTGTGGGCGAGTGTCACCTCTCCAAGATTGCATTCCTCCGACTAGCAACACTTTTCTCGGGTGAGCATCTCTACAGGCCCGAGCGATGTGCGTAGCAGCGCGCGGATTAGACTCCAGAAGGCACAAGCCGACGCCTGCCGATCCGGCCCACAGGAGCTTTCGGTGGAACATTCTCTTCAAGAATTTCGAGGCCTGAAGTGGATTGCTGAATGGCAGTTTGTTTGGAGAGCTTGATGAGTATTTGTCAAGTAGGCAAGTGCCTCCATGCTTAAGGCTCAAGAGATGTGGTCTCGTTGGGCACTTGGGTTGGCACTTACCTAAGGATGATGAAAGGATTTTATGTTCGGGTCAGAGGCCTTAGAGCTCGCCCTGAGCTCAACGGGCGCTACGGAAGGATCCTGCAGTGGATTCTGTCGGCGGGACGCTGGGAGGTGCAGTTGGAAGCAGAAAATGGGGTCCCGGTGCAGGGAACGATTTCAATCAAAACAGGAGTTTTGTCCTGAACTGGAAACGACTTACATGTCAAGGCTGCTCGCCAACTGCCCGAAAAGACGGTCACCACCATGCTTTCCGATGGAGTTCCGCCAAGCCTGTGAGAACAAGTCATGGCCTGAAAGGCTTGAACCGGAGAGTGCCTGGGAATTCCTCCAAAATGGCTACTTGGCCGCGACGGAGCTGAGATGGCAACGAACTCTAAGTGAGCAGCACAGTCCTCAAACTTCCAGGACCTGCCTTGATAGCTTGAAGATTGGCGCTGTACTTCCTGAGCATCTAAAGCAGCATGACTTCCACCACTTCCGCACCAACTTCAGCAACTCCCCGCCCAACAAAATGTCGATGTCCGCCAACTCCACTTATGTTGCTGTCGGATTCAATGACCTAGGCGTTTTGCTTGATGCCAACATACAGGAAGAAGCTGCGAACATTCGCTTTGAAACTTTGTCGGCATCGATCTGAACGATTTTGCAGTGGCGAAGACGTTGGTCATTGCAGCAATGCTTAAGGACGCTAGCATTCCAGTGAATCACGTGTTGCAGGTGTGGTATTCATCAACCTGGTCCAAGGGAACATTTTCATCCTTCAAGCGAAGCGTATGGGCTTTGGAGCTGCCCGCTCAAAAGCCCGGAATACATCAGCTTGTGGACTTCTGGAAATCCACTGCAGCACCGGACCTCACAAACTGTCGGCGGGAGTGGCTGCGGTACTTTGTCAATGATGCACGCAAATGGGATGCTTGCACAATTGCAAGTCTTGTTCGGCAACTGGATCGGCTGGCAGCATGCAGATACTTCCTAACTGGAGACGTATGCGATGAAAGGGAGGAGAGCGCCGACCAGCTAGAAGTGGGTAGCCTCACCATGTGGGCATTGCCTCTCGGTTCCCTCCGATTGCACAATGCAGACTCCATCTTTGCGACAATGAGTTTGGAGGACTACCTCCCTGTGCCGGAACAAGCAGACTCAATCATCCAACTCTTCGTGAACGACATTTCCAAGAAGCTCAACAGCATCCGACAGCTGCTCCTGGAAGGAAGACTTGAGATCGAGATTTGGCAGGACGAGTTGACTTCCGACAGTTGCCAGCTGCTAAGCCGAATTTCTGCGCTCTCCCCAGCGGGAATCAGTTGGTCCAACCTTCTGGACTACACAGACTTTGCTTCATTCCATGCTGTGGCAGCTAGGTGCTCAGCACCAGACTCGTTTACCACGCACTATGCCTACTCCATGGAGTGGGTGAAAGATGTTTATGGCATTACACTGGCAGACTGGTGCAGAGGACGCCAAGCCTTGCGGGCATCCTTGCTTGTAGAGCTGGAGACTGGGAAGGCACTGCCAGCCTTTGCCAGAAAAACGCAGCTTAACACTCTGCTGGCTCTGCCTGGCTTTGGTTGCCCCAGCAGGATGTGGATGTACGTCACGGCGATGCATCTGCACAAGTCCTGGGTTGCTAGGTTTGTGAGCAAGGGTTCAACTACCGCGCAAGATGTGACGCTGCACTCCTTGGGCATGTGCTTGCCATTCATGATGCATAGGCGCTTCCCGACGAATCTGTTCCTACAATGGAGGAGGAATATGGTGAGTCAAAGCCTGCAAAAATCAGCCAGGCCATGCAATGTTACGATGCTATCTTAGGTGAAGTAGTTGTGCACGTACTGGAAACCACACCCAGACCGTGACTCCGTGGAGAAAGGCGTGTGTGTGCGAAGAAGCTGCTGTGATGCCAGTCGCATGCGGAGAAGAGTTTGAAGTCATTTGCTGCCTGCAGCCCCTCGAAGAACAACTTGTGACACCATCCACTTCATGCTGTTTGACTGCCCCTTGCTTTCCTTTCTCTCGATTGCTGTATTTGTAGGTCTTGGGCGACGCAGATCGGGCGATGTGCCCAGTCCTTCCTTTCTCATGATTTTTGAGGAGCATCGGCTTAGGTGTAGTCTTCTGTCTGATGAGAGAGGCGCAGAGAGAATTGGCAGGGTCTTGCTAAATGCTCGAAGGGGTCATTCCAGCCTCAAGTCCAGCCTCAAGCTTCGTGTTGCCTCGATGAGTCCGCAGCTGCTAGAGGCCATAGACAGCTGACTTTGCGTCAGGTTTTGGTGTACCTGACCCTGTGGATTCAAAAATGCTTGTCGGTGGCATCACAGGCGGGTAACATGTCTGCTGGTATGAAATCAGCCGGGATTGCGCAGACTCCGCAGATGACCCCGATGCATTCAGGCCGGCAGCGCTGAAGATGCGGCGCGCCAGCTGGAGGTCTCGGGGATCGGAGGGCCAATGGTGGGGAGACGCTCTGCTTCGGAGTTTCATAGGTGGTGGCTGCCTCCGAGTTGCCGGGACCCGGAGACGCCGGGCTCGGCCCCAAGAGACCGAAGCGCTCGCATCAGGGGTTAAACACAGCAGGCATTCGCCTGTGTTAGGTTCATCCTCGGCAGCTGGTTCAAAGCCGGGCCTCCTCAGGATTGCCAAATGGCCAAGGCCCCGCCATCTTTTGTTTCGGAGCAGGAGGGACGTTTCCAGGCTAGTCCTAGAAGAAATTGCGGCAGGCCTACTTGAAGCAGCTTCGGCAGGCACGCTGCAGTCCTTGCAGCACCCGCAAAACTGTGCAGAGGGGTCTGAAGCCGATCTACCCTACCCGAAGTGCAGTTTGACAACACCCCCTCAGCGCCCTACCAATTCCAGGAGACGGCGTCCAGGCTGTTGCCTGTGTTCTATGCAGACGGACAGCCGAACAAATGGTGGTGGTAGGCTGAGATTGTCGCGTTTGTGTGGCTGGAGGGACGGCAGCGGAGCAGATGCAAGATTGGAACTGTCGAGGTTCCAGTTCTCAAAGAAGAAGTTCATGAACATCGCCCTGTAAGCCAAGGGTAGCAGATGATTCAAGCCAGACGGCAATCGCTGACAAAATACGGTGCCTTGTGCTACAGGTGCCTGTTAGAGCGGCAGGGAATCCTTGGAGAGACCTTGTGAGTGCTGGTTTCATCGTGCCTTGCAAATGTTGAGCACTGACATGGCAATTGCCTGCGCACGGAGCTCATGACTTTTGCCGCCATTGGGGCCCAGCTGGTTACAGTAGGAACAGTTCCTAGGATCTGCTGCGGCAGAGGCAAGTCCATGTCTCTGAGCTTAGTGACATGTGGGGAGTGTCAGACGTCGACGTGCCAGGGAACCATGGCTGGGCAACCGGCCTGTATCTCAGACTTCGGAGATGTAGAAAATATGTTGGTATTAGATTCGTGTTTCTCGGTACCGAGAGCAATATGAGCAATACGCCGAGCCTCGGCAGGTGGTGAACCCGCTAAGCCAGCAGCTGGGGCCGGCACCCCGGATGCAGGTGCCGCCTGATCCCCAAACAGGATCCCGATGTGCCAACGAAGCAGCTTTGGACATCTCCTCTGCCCGTCATGTGTCGGCTCTTTTCGGATCGCCACCTGTGCTTGTGGGCGATGCACCTTTGTATCTAGGCTCGAGAACGCCTCCCAGACAGAAGAGAGATCATGACCGGAGAAATAGGACCGCAACCAGGCATCAAGACTGCTCGGAAAAAAATTTCGTGGAGCTTTGCAAGGGCAGCACGGCATGCAATCGTCCAAAGATAGCAAAAGCTGAGGTCCGCTCTCACTCATGGTGCGTCACAGCGACACTGTCAAACCTTCAAGAAACCTAGTGGAACTAAGACTATGAGTCCTTAAACAACTGCAGCTTTCCGTTCTGTGCACTTCCATGGACCGTGGCTCCAGACATGGAGCCTGGGCTGCAAACAGGTTGCATCCATGCTAGACTCTGCTAGACTGTACATCCCGCCTTTGTGCGAATGGTTGGTATGCAAGCAGCATCTCTTCGAGGACCCACACCGATCGACGAGGCCTCGGGACCCGAGTCCTCTCCGTCGGCATCCCAGCACCCTAGGATCCAAAACGGACAGCTGCAAGCGAGTGCGTGCCTTTTAGCGTGGAGCCGTCGTAAGGTCGTCTGCATCATCCCGATCCGAAGCATGGAGCTTAGAGCCCACCTTGCTCAGCGAGGAACGGCACGCATCCTCTGCTCACGATGGAGTGTGCGGGATGCTCTCAGGATCGACGAGGAGAGCTCAGCCCTTCCTCGTCCTCCGCCGCTTGGCTGCCCCCAATTCCAATTTACTTGCACCAGTCATTGCCTTTCTGTTCGGAGAGGCGCCGTTTCGTCGAGTGTGCTGGGCTGAGTGTAAAGCGAAAGCACTGGACGGGCGACCGATGCCCTGCACTCTGCCTTCATGTTGCCTCCCCGAGCCCGAGGTCTTCACAGCGAGCATCTCGAGCGTCAGGGCCCTACTGTCTCCCTGCACATTGTTGAATCTGTTGAGTGCAACATCTTTTGCCGAGTGTCTGCACGTTCGGGGCCTCCATGTGGTGCTTCCTCTTCCGAATCTCTTGAGAGGACGACTCCGACCAGCACGGGAAGGCAGGGACTGCATAGCGGTTGTTGGCCACATTTTGGTCAGGGACTGGAAAGATGCGTAATATGAAAGGTCTCATGAGTCGCAGGATGGGGTGTTTTTTGCAAAGCTGCCGAGAGACCGTGGAACTCTCAGGGAGGCCTTTACTTTGACTTGGAGCTGTGCAGATTGGTCTCCGGCCATCTCGCCTCGGACTTCGACGAGCAGCTCTTCAAGCCGCCCCTTGGCCAAAGGGGCTTTGGGCTTTACATTATGCCGAACCGTGAACCAGGCTGGGTTGAATCGATTTCGGAGACTCGACAATCTCCAAGATCCCATAGGTTTCCTGAGAGTCTCCTGGGCCAAGGGAGCTCTACGAGTTGGAATCGGAGAATGATGCCCAGGAGCATGGTCGCATCGTGTTGCCATGTTAACAGACGTGAGGGGTCGGACCCTGCAATAATCAAAAGCAGGGGCCTGCGGCTTGCAGAAATCTTCAGAATTTAGTGGCCTGAATCGGATGCCACCTCGGTTTTGCACTTTGCGACTCCTCGGCATCATGGCAGCTTGCAGGCGCAGCAGCTTCTGCCCTATCCCACCTGGTCGCCGGAAGCGCACCGGGCCGGATGCTCAAATCCGTGCATGCTCGCCGCGCCCGATTTCTGCAACTGCAGCCTGTGGTACATGATCCCATCATGTCAATGCGAACACAGCTGATGTCTCTTTCAGGAGGACATGAGGCTGCCAGGCTCGGCTCTCATAGGAAGCGTAGGGTAATCTGAGACGCATGGCAATGGGGATGCGCAAAACTGTGAGGTGCCCTGGGCTTTATACAGTCCGATTGGTTTCTCGTGCTGCCTCGAGCTTAGACATGCTCTGCAGCGCAACAGCTGTCGAGCTTTGCAGTTCATACTGTAGCAGACTGTAGCCCGTGCTTTGTATTGTCGCCAGGTCCGGCTTGGTGGTTGCCTTCAACATCATGTGCCTGTACATCCAGGTTGCCAGTGCCTTGCGGAAGCTGCTTGAGTTCGGGTGCAATGGATTCTTTCTATTCCCTTTCTCTAAACCTCACAGAAGATGCTGACCACAAGCGCGCATGCACAAACGGAGAAATGCAAACACAATCATGGTGGACACGAGTGCACACTCAAAGAGATGCGCACAGAAATAGGGAGAACACATGGTTACCCAGCAGGCTTACGTGCTGAACTCTTTTGAACGGTTGGCCTTCCATGTCTCATGCACGAAGTATGTAGCAGAGGATTCTAGACATGCGGTGGCGGTGTTTTTTGCGGAGCAGGTGGCATGTGATGTGACGGACGAGGATGCCAAGGTTGGTGCAGCTGAATGTGGAGTAATGTGGCACCTCGGCCCTGGCAGAGCCTGACCTGTGGAGGTCCTCGAGAACGTAAACGACACCTGCCTGGTGCTGTACACCATCGAGGCTCGACGTAGCGGCAGAGTGAGCATGTCGTGTTTGCCTTTGCCTTCTGGATGCTGGTGCTGCATTACTCGGTGCTAGGTCGTGATGAGACTGATGCTTGGCTGCGTTTGAGTGGTAACGAACGCGTACAGGTTGCAGGGGCTTATTGATGGCTTCGGCTCTCGTGCCCCGGTCGGGGCTTCCCTACCGGCGGCCACCTGCTTGCATCCCCACCGCTCCTTCTGGGGACTCAAATCAGGGCTTCACCGGGTCGGTTCCAGGTGGGGACAGAGCCCCAGTCGAGAATTTTTTTCATACGAGTATGAGTACCTAGTCACAGATGTCTATCACGGCCGCCAGTGACCTCAGGCTTCATTTTCGATTACGATTCTGCGCCCATGCTGTGGATGGCATGTGGAATCTCTTCGACTTCGTGCCTTGATGGCACGTGAAGCATGGTGGCAGTTTGTGGCCTCCGTCCTGCTGACGTGAAGCTAGTTTCTAGATGTTGTGTGGGGCCTCGATGGTCCACGTCGATCCAGCTTGCTGCCAAGGTTATTGTTTGTGCGGGCGTATTCGACCGGTGGATATTTCCATCATTGAATGCCCATATTGGAGTCAAGTCGCAGGCACGCTGCGCTACTTCCCGCTTGAGCCGGCCAGATCTGATAGTCTGTACAAGTTTCCCGCTACACTGTCCTTTACGTAGTCCCCGACTTGAGCTGAGCCCTTTGTACTTGCAAGAGCCTGCAAGGCTATCGATGTCGTTGCATCCGCCAGCTGTTTGCAGGCCAGCTTCTGGCTGCCAGTCTTGCGGGGCATCCGAGTGCTGAGGCACGACGTGATGCGGTTTTAGTGCTTCAGCTAAAGTAGTAGAGGGCAATTGCCAGGTTCATCCGCGTGGTGAAGCTCGTTGGGGCTCCGGACTCAGCCAGAAATCGCTGCTGTGGAGGAGTCAGTGCTGAATTTGAGACCAAAGCCGCGCCATGACAAGTAGATAGCTGCAGTTTATCTTGTCAACCGTAAGATACGGTCGACAGTGCACTGCGCGTTTCAATAGCTTTTGGCTGGGCAGCAGTCCGATTGGTTGTCAAGATCTCCAGCTATTACTATCAACACCGATTTTCAGAAATCAGTTGACGTCAGGTAAGACCTGTGGATGTGGATGTCTTTCCTTTCAGGTGCTTTTTCGCTCAGATCTTCGGTGGACTGAGCCGTGCACTCATTTGATGGCTCAGTGTCATGTCTCATAAGTTTGGTGCCTCTCTTCGGTTTTGAGTAGAGCTCGCATTTGCTTCTGTATGCACCTGACACGGGTTCACCTGGCAACTATCGCGAGGGGCGTGGCATTCGCTTCAGCCACCAGCTCAGCTTGCAGAGCTAAGACCCCACACACTGTGTCTAGTCTGCTGCGCTCAAAACTGAATGACCCACAGGTGGTCTCTGCAGTGATCATCACCAGTGTGATCCTGATGGGCTGGGGGCCAATGCGCTGATCCATGTCGTGAGGCTTGGGGACTTGAAGATCACTGCGCGTATTCGCCCATCTTGGCTAATTTCTGCTGAGGCCTGGAGACCGACATCCAGTCTCCACTTTGGGAGCCCATAAACGACTTGGCTCGGGACCCAATTCAGGGCGTCTCCAAGCAGCGCGATCACTGCTGAGGTTCTGTTGTTCTTCCTGTTTGAGCTGGCGGCTCACAGCTCAGAAGTGCTGCTGGTTGCCCCAAGACTGGTACCCGTAGCGTCTTTTGAACACAAGTGCGCGCACGCCTGTACTAGCAGAGTCAACCGAAGGTGGCAACAAGGGGTGTGGGGCCCCTTTGGACCGGTTTCCGAGCCAGGCCCCACCTGGAGCTGGATTTGGCCGGTCCTTTTTGGGGTGTCTGAGAGTGGTTCAGCCGCTCCAGAATGGAGAAACGAGCCCCCGATGATGGTCATGATGCTTGCTTGTCGGCTCCGACATGGGCCCCGATGATGCTCATGATGCTTGCCCGTCGGCGCTTCGATATGGGCCCCGATGATGCTCATGATGCTTGCCCGTCGGCTCCGATGTGGGCCCCGATGATGCTCATGATGCTTGCTCGTCGGCGCTCCGATATGGGCCCCGATGATGCTCATGATGCTTGCCCGTCGGCTCCGATGTGGGCCCCGATGATGCTCATGATGCTTGCCTGTCGGCTGCGATGTGGGTCCCGCTGATGCTCATGATGCTTGCCTGTCGGCTGCGATGTGGGTCCCGATGATGCTCATGATCGCGTGCTGGCTTGGGTTAGGACTCCTAGCAGGATTTCCTTGCTTGCTTCATTCTGTCCTGAAGCCCTTCTGCTTGCGCATCCTGCTGCTTGAGACTTGCATGATTTCTGAGGATTTGTCTTTAGTCACTTTAGTCCTGCAGAGTAGCAGATTATTGGCATTCGACAGTGGGCCTAGAAAGCATTGGCAGAACGATCTAGTCGCAAAGCCTTGGAACATCGCACACCGAGAGCCCGACGAAGCGGCAATGGTCGCCTAGCTTTCGTCCCAGTCCCTCCTCCCCAAGTGATCCCCCTTCTATGGCACGATGCTGTCAATCGCTACTGCAGAACCTGAGTGCAATTCCGTTGCCTTTGCAAGGGCTTCGCCTGTGCAAGATGGGTTTCGCAGCTGCAGGTTAACATCCGAAAGCAGGGCTGGCTTCACTTTTTCAGCTCCGAGGACGCCTCACTGCTTGACAGCTAGTGAGCAATGAAGTGCTGTCTTAGACTTCACTCACAGGACCACGTTTGGAATTGGCTGGACATGATCATCGTGGTCTTGGGCACCCTCGACCAATGGGCTGCTTGGAGCAAGAAATGCTGATCCAGTTTCCGAAGTTGAAGAGATGCTTGCTGCTAGCACGGCCTGTTTGTTTGTTGCAATGCATAGTAAAGACATGGTTTTATACACTTGTTATCATTTGTTTACATGTCTTGCAGAGGGCGTTGCGGTGGTTTCTCTAGCCATGCCAACGAAGCTGCGGAAGTGATCGGAATGGACTCCGGACGCATATTGCCATGCCACTGAGCTGGCACGAGCGACGACAATTTTCCGTTGTTCAGTACATGTGTGTTATCACATGCAGCAAGCCCTTGCACGACAGGCGGGAAGCTGGGTTGCAGCAAAAGACGCAGCTAGCAAGTATGCAGTCATTGGTTGATCAACTGGCGAATACGTGGGTTTGTGTGTTTGTGTCTCTGTGTGTGTGTGTGCGTGCGTGTGATTGTCTTTCTTTTTCTCGTGGCCATTCTGCGATGAGAGGCTCCTCCGTGCTAGTCCCAAACCTTACTAGTTCTTCATGTGGCAAGTGAGCGAAGCATTGCTGCAGGTCATCAAGATCTTTTTCATTGCAGTGTATGGTCGCGATCAAAGTCATGAGCTGGGCAGCTCGCTCATGCTCTTTCGCTTGCTGCGAATGCTCAGGACAGAGGTCTTTAGCACCTGCTTCAGCCGCCGATAGCTGCAGTACAGGTAGTATGACTTTAAAGAGTGCCTCAGTGCAGAGCCAGGATCTTGCGAGTTCTTAGACTCGTGAAGGTGCCACGAGACTCCATGTACCCCTGCGTGGCTGCCTGCAGATACCTGCAACTCCTTTCGACAGGCAGTTCATCCGCTCTACTTGCTGGCCCTCGGCATTGCTGAGGCCAGCAGGATTTGCGCAGCGGGAAGGTGCTTCTTTATGCCATCTGGCTGGCAAGGCTGTGCAGAGCATGTTCTGGGTTCTGTTGCTTACAATGGTGGCGCTCTATGCGTCCACAACTCAGACCTGACTATGCTAGGAGCTTTCCTGCAGCATGCGCGAATGCAAGCTTCCGCGACCAAAAAGGTCAGCAATTGTAATCACACGCATTGTCCGCGAGACCCACATAGAGGCAGGCCTCGTTGATCTTCGCGCTTCAACATCTTTTTAGTCTATTTGTCCATTGTTGATTTCTGTGCAACGACCTGCTTCACTGTGAAGGATGTGCCAGATGCTGCCAAAGCCAATTTTCAGAACGTGCCTGACTCCATGTTCACGCTCTTCGTCCTGATGAATGGTGAGGAGCCTCGACCGTGGATGATGCATGGAAGATCGTCGAATGGCTTCGGTCATGTGCTTTGCAGGAGTGGCCTGATGTGATGCCTCTCCTGGATGCGCAGAGCCCTCAGTCATGCAGGAGTGTACAGCATGACATAAATGTCTTCAATGCCGAGAGGCAGCTTCATACTGAGCAAAGGTGTCCAAGTCTCAAGTTCATGTTTGTCCTTTTCATTATCATCTCAACGTGGGCTTTGCTGTCGGCCAGAAGCCCGGATAGGAGCAGCTGTGCATGTCCCACGCCGGCACTGCCTCACAGACAGTTTTTTGAGGTGATGACTGGTGCCAGGGCCTTAGACGGCGGCGGGTCCCGCCGCGGCCCCGCAAACAGAACTTGGCAGGTAGTGAGCGACAACATGATCTACGCAAGGGAGGCGCAGTCTCAGAAGGCTGGGGCGGCAAAAGGGAGTCTCTGGCGGATGTTCGGCATTCGGCGAGCAGGACGATGCTCTGCAAGGAGAACGTCGGGCCAAGGCCAACCTGCTGATAAAGCTTCTTCCGGTAGTAGCATGGACTGGCACCGTCGTCGGCACGCTGTGCGTTGACGGCCGTGTAGCGGAGTAGCGTTGCTGCAGGTACAGAAGGCCCTGAACGACGTTTTCTTTGCATCCCGGGGCCTCTCCACTGACAAAAGGCCTTGCGTCACGCGGTGGCATGTCGCACAGAGAAGTATGGTAGGTGTCTGAGACAGTCGGAGACATCTTGTCGGCTGAAGGCTTGCAGCCCGAGACTGGCAAGACGTTTTAAAGGTTCCGTTTTATGCGAAAAAGATCATGGATGTCGCCTGGCACTTGGACGGCTGAGTCAATGTTTCGACAAGAAGTCAGCAACATGGCTTCTTGAGGTGCCCTCGGTCCCAAAGAAGGCCTGGATTCGTGGCCCCAGTCAGTCAAGTTTAGCTTTGTTGCAAGCCCCGAACTCCTGCTCTTCATTCGCCTACGTGGCAGACATGGCAAGTCGATTCAGGCAAAGTTGTAGCCGCGAGGATCTATTGGACATGTTCGACTGGCTGGAAGCAGATGAGTCGGACTCCAAAGTCAGCTTCCAGGCCTTGCAACATTTCTTCTCAGCTCGGCCAGTCCAGGCTGATGGGGGTTTAATGAAATCTAATGCCACGTTGAAGGAGGTGCTGCGTGGAGTGATGACTTTGGCCGAGCCGCCGAGTGGCAAGACCCTACTCCAGGTTGGAATCTGACTTCCATCTCCAAGTGCATCGTAGAGAAAAGCGCTCAAGCTCACAGTGCTCACAGGTCGACTCAGAGGTCAAGCAGCGGTTCTCACGACTACAGCAGCAGGTGCTCCGCCCTTTCGGTCCTGACATGCCGACCACACTCAGCCGAATGCAGCGGAGGTATAGTTGTGATACACATGTTTGTCGTGAGGGCATGAACGCGGAAGACACCATCGCAGAGCTCGATGAGAAGGCCATTGCTGTGCGAGAAATTACAGCAGCTGCGACAGGAACAATACCTAGAATCTAGAATCTAGCAATATCTAACACAGGGCTACATTCTAAGGGTTGGGCTGGGAAACTAGTTTTGCAACCGGGGTCGAACACACATTTCTGCCGGCTGTCTTGCATCCCTTGGGTTGCCGAAAAGGGGGGGTTGATCCGTTTCGGCATATTCATATTCGTTTCGGCAATAACGGGTCTCTGGGTTGCGGCTTCTTTGGATGCTCGTGGCAACATTTGCGGAGCCCTGCTCCGAAAAACGATGCGGATCACGCAGTCATTGAACAGCAGAGCCACAGACCAGGGCTTGAGGGGTTGAGGAGTTTAGGCAGTTTAGGGTTTATTGGTTCGAGGTTTCTGGGTTTAGAGTTTCTGGTTTCAGGGTTTCTGGATGTTGCTGGGTTTAGGGGTTTAAGGTTTTGGTTGTCTTGGTTCAGGGATTAGGGGTTCAGGGGTTTAGGGGTTTTGGGTTTAGGATGGTTTAGGGCTTCCTAGGTTTCAGGTTTCTGGCTTCTGGACTCAGGTGTTTAGGGTTTCTGGGTGAGGGCTTCCGAGGGTGCGGGGTTTTTGCGTTTAGGGGTTTAGGGTTTCTGGGTTTCTGGGTTCAGGGG